CCAGGGTAAGCAATATGTGCTGGTGATGATCGAGCACACTAGCAAGTGGCTGGAAGTGGCTGCATTGGCGCGGAAGACAGCCGCGGGAGTAGCAGAGGGATTCGTGCAGCAAGTGCTAACCAGGTTCGGGGCGTGTGGAGAAGTATTGACAGACCAAGGTACTGAATTCGCTGGAGAATTCGATGCTGTGGTGAAAGAAGTGGGGATAACCCACCGACGGACCTCGAGGTATCATCCGCAAGCGGATGGCTTAACTGAACGGATGGTACAGACCTTGAAGTAGGGCTTGCGGAAGTACTGTGAAGAAGAGGAGAGAAGGGAATAGGATTTGCAGCTCCCATGGGTGGCCGCAGGGTATCGCTTCAGCAAGCAGCAGGCCCTGAGAAACTACTCCCCGTACTTCCAGCTCTACGGGAAGGAACCGATACTGCCAGTAGACGCCCCACGCATCATGATGGAGCCCATGGGGACAGATGACCCTCGACAATGGGCGGCAGTGGCTGCAACACGCGCTAGTTATCTGCGGTCAGTACTGCCGGCGGCACTACAAAACCTAGAGGTAGCTCAGCTGAGGGATGCCAGGCGCTACAGCCAGAGGCAGCAAGGGACCAAGGAAGGCGGGGGGCGACCACAAACGCTCCAGGTGGGGGATGAGGTGTACCTGAGGTAACAGCGCAGGGACACGCTGGAGTGCGGACTGAGCCGGGAGCGCTGGGAGGTGGTGAAGGTGAAAGGCTCGGGAGTGCTAGAGTTGCGAGATTCAAAGGGGCGGCAAGTGCGGGACCATGACTCGAATGTAGCATGCGCAGGAGGGTTGCGGCAGGTGGGCAGGGACGCTACACCAGCAACGAGGGGGCAAGAGCGGGAGAAATCAGTGACAATTACATATCAGAGAAGGAAAGGGAAGGCACAGGAGAAGCCCGGCTAGAAGGGAGAGTCGGGCCATCGGGGAGGGGGAATGAGACAGCTGTCGCACGAATTGACATAACGAATGTGTTATGAAAATCCGTGGGACAACTCGGGAAGTTTAAGCAAAAAGGGTTGGAGAAAGAGGGGTGTACATGGTTATGGCGATAAAAGGGGGTGTACAGTGATGGGTGTTCAGATCGAGGTTGGGATGCAGAAAGGCGGTGCGACCGTTGGCAAGAGAGGCATGCAGGAAGGGTACAGCTGGGCGGGTCGAGAGCAGTTAGGGAAGAAGGCATGCAGGAAGGCAGGAGGCAGCGTCGATCGCAAAGCGACATGGAGCCATCACGGTGGAGAAAAACCCGAAACGAACATCGGCTGATCTCAAGGGAGGGAGGGGTGCGCGCTCCGGAGTGAATCTACTAGGAGGTAGCCACAAAACTGCAAGTGCGTAGTTGTGTAGCTACTTTTGTTTGTTCTCTTGTTATCATAGGAAAGCGTGTATGCTCTGTGAGTAGTGGATTCATTCAGGAGCACAGCTAGAGCTATGTAGAGAGGCCAGACAGGGGCGGTATTGAACTAAGAAAGCTTCCTTGAAGCCTTTCGTTAGAGCGGGAGAAATCAGTGACAATTACATATCAGGGAAGGAAAGGGAAGGCACAGGAGAAGCCGGGCTAGAAGGGAGAGTCGGGCCATCAGGGAGAGGCAATGCGACATCTATGGCTCGTTTTCCCCCTCGTTCTCCTCTTGTGTCTCCTTACCCGACGCCTCCAACTCACTTCTGGTCTCGCTGTCCCTCCCGTGCTCGTCGTGTCTCTTCTGTTAAGCACTGTCACCCTATGTTGCTCCGTTCCCACGCGTCTCATCCTCTCCACCTCCGTTGTTGCTTTCTATCGCTTCGCCTCCTCTGTCTGACTTCCTTTGTGCCGCTAGTCCTCTTATTCCTCGGGTCCTTGCCTCCCTCGTAACCGACCCGTTTGTTCCTGTCTCAAGTCTTGACACTCTTGTCGCTGCCGTCGCTAACTTTGCCTCTACCCGCCGTCTTGACTACGCCACACCTCTGGTATCTAACACTGCCAGTCCCCCGTCCATCGGGGGCGCTTCTTCCTTTGGCAGTGATGTCCTTGAGGACCGGCAGTACGAGCTAGCTTTCCTACCCGAGGTCGCGCCTTATCTCTGCTCCATGCTGCTAGTCCATGAGAGTGACCCAGACGCCCTTGAGATCCCGACCCCTCGCACTTACGCTGAGGCGCCCTTGGGATCCTGGCCCTCTCAGTGGATAGCTGCCATGGACGCGGAGATGGCATATTGGAGATCCACCGGCACCTATGTCGATACAGTTCCCCCACCCGTGGTGAACGTAGTCGATGTCCGATGGACGTGCCACGTGGCTAAAGGCTTCAGTCAGTGCAAGAGTGTTGACTTCTTTCAAACCTTCGCCTCAACCCCAAAGATAACTACTCTTCAGGCGCTGTTATCTGTAGCAGTACAGCGTGACTACGAGCTGCACTCCTTCGACTTCTCCACAACGTTTCTCCAGGGCAGTCTACACGAGCAGGTCTACCAAAGTCGTCCGCCCGTCTTCACCGGCACCTTCACCCCCGGTACAGGGTGGCTCCTCCGGCGCCCGGTTTACGGCCTGCGGCGGGTCCCCCGTGAGTGGCACGATATGCTGCGTGTTATTTTAGCTAACCTGCAGTTCTGCCCGTCGTCTGCAGACCCTTTGCTCTTTTCGTTCGTGCTGGCCAGAACCGGTTCTACATCCTTGTCTACGTAGACGATCTGGTCTTTGCTAATGCAGACAGAGACGCACTGGGCTACGTGAAGGCAAAGCTGCTGAGGAGACACACCGGCACTTACCTAGTAGAGTTGCTCCGCTACCTTGGCCTGCAGATCTCCGGGGACAGAGCAGCGCGCACCATCACTCTTACACAGTCACACTTGGTGCGCCAGGTCCTTCAGACGTTCGGTCTTCAGTTCTCCTCTGCACTGCCGCCACCTCTGCCAGTAGATCACAGGCTCTTTGCTCCAGTCTTTGAGGAGTCTGTAGAGTCTAATGGTACTTACGTAGAGCTGGTGGGTTGCCTCATGTACCTGATGACTAGCACTCGCCCAGATCTCGCATACCCTCTCAGCATCCTGGCTCGCTTTGTGGCCACAGGCAGACACCGGCCACAGCACTAGTCGGCCGCTAAGAGGGTTTTGCATTATCTAGCAAGTACATCGGGCATGGGGCTAGTGCGGGGAGGCAGACCAGTGGTCCTTACAGAGCACGCAGACGCTTCGTGGGCACACGACGCTGAGACGCTCAGGTCCTCCCAGGGTTACTGCTTTAGCCTTGGTGCAGGCGCCATCTCATGGAGGTCCACCCACTCGTCGTCTCTTGCTAAGTCTAGATGTGAGGCTGAGATCTACGCCGGTGCCATGGCGGAACAGGAGCTCCGCTGGCTGACCTTCTTGTTCACAAACTTTGGTGAGGGGCCTAGCTCTGCCTCAGTTCTGTACGCTGACAATAGGGCCATGATCCTATTGTATCAGGAGCCTCAATTGGAGGGCAGAGAGAAGCACATCCAGCTGCGGTACTTCCTCCTGCACAAGCTACAGCAGCGTCATCAGGCCTGCGTAGTCCACTTGGCCTCCGGTGCCATTACAGCTGATATCTTTACGAAGGCGCTTGCGCCTAAAGATCATCAGCGACACTGTGTACAGCTTGGCCTAGTTCATGTAGCTTCTCACTTGCTAGGACCTTGATTGTGTACTACTCCTAATATTATCTTGACTGGCCTTGTGGCTCTGTTGTGGTGGCTGGACTAGTTGTGCCGCCTTTGGTTACTCTTGTTTTCTTTGTTCTCTTGCTGACTGGTCTTCAGACACTTTTCTCAGAGGTTGGACTAGTAGTGCCACCCTGAGCTGCGTGTCTTGTGCTAGTCATTGCCCCTTGTTTAGCCTAGGGGATGTGTCAACATATAATTGTATATGTTATAGGCTAGATAGGTGCATGCTCGTAGAGAGTACAACACCTTAGGTTATATCCCAGTGTATCCCCTAAGAATACTCAATTCATTACTCTGAGAGGTAGCCGTATTATTTGATTTGCTGGATGGGCGTTGGGCATTGATTTGATCACCTTTTTTAGTAACGTTATTTGAGATAGAACTACATGACAATTGACGAAAGCTTTGCCTTATCGAAACGCACAAGCGAGCCTTTGACCCCACCTCATCATTGCTGGGCAAGTGAAGCATTCCGTCCCAAACCAACCACTGAGGCTGGGTTGAAAACCAAATCAATCCCGCGTCGCCATTGCGAACGTCCTCCCAAACTTTGTTTGGCTACTGCCCGAACCAGCCGGAGGGCCAGCAGCAACCAAGCATTTGTGCTGCACTACCTTCACCACTTGCCCAGGGGCAGTAGACCAACCGACAGCAAAGCCAGTTCCACAATCCGCTCTCTTATGGTCCGAAAGCGGGAACAAGCGTATCTAAGAAAAGTTTTATATCAGCCTTTGAATAAGGTCACTCATTATATTTGAGTGCAACCTTTACAGCGAGAGTGCCCTAACAAAATGCGACTAGGGTCTCTGTAGTCCCCTCCCTTGCCGCCGCCACAAACACCACGCCAACCGAACCAAGCCAAACCTGTGCGCGCGGTCCGACCGAAACCGATCTCCAGACAGAAGAGCTCGGTCTTGATTTGCCTCACTTCTGGGCTCAGATCGGGTAACTAGGAAGATTCATGGGCAAATACTGTACGCTTGGAGAATAGAGAGTTTCTTCTTACTAAAAGCTACGAATCTGCCGCATCAGCAATTTCTTCACCGCAGTTGTGGATTCTTTTCACACTAGTGCCAGACACGAGCTCCAAACTACCCTTGCCCCCTCGCACAGATATTCACAATGCTTTCTGAATGACCGAATTTCATGCCCGCTGATATAGAGTATATTTCATGTAATTTTTCTTCCGTAACTCGCTCACTTCTGCCAGTCTCTCGGTTTCGTCTTTCTGCCAGACCACATCACTGTGCTCCGCTCAGCCTCTCCGTTTCCGCTGTATTTCCGAGGCCGTCGTTTTCTCTGTCGAGGTCCAGCCTCCGCTACTCAACCTCAACTTGGTCAGTTGATTATCATCAACTTGGAGTCTATTCGCCAGCGTTCCAAATTTCCTATGCCGCTAGAGGTTGAACGTTTTCCTATCTTCGTCAGCGCCCTTCCTCGCTGGTCGAGCGAATTTTAATTACTTGCCAGTGTTGTCGCAAAGCAGGCCGAAACCTCCACGTCCCTTTCCTCCAGTCAACCATGGCGCACACGCGACCTATGCCAGCGTTGTCGCTTGCTGTCGCATGTGCGATGCTTCTCTGCGTCGCCGTCGCCCCGTCGCGCGCCTCGCCGACTGTCGCACAGATAAAGGCGGACCTGAAGGAGTGTCGCGCGACCATGGCGAAACTCTACGACTACAAAGCGTACCTCCGAGGGATCGACGAGATGCGTGAGTGTGCTAGTAACGAGTGGGGCAATGCGATGCTTAATTCGGAGAAGTAACTACTATTTAACGGTGGACTAGTGGAGCAACATGATTCGTTGCGTTTCCAGGAAACCTAGACCGATGCGACGCATGGCGTGAGTACTGACGGATAGCTCGAAGAGAGAGACGCGTGGCGCATCGTGAGTGCCGAGTACACTGCGCCAGATAGGTATTAGGCATCCCGTGTGGTTGAAAGCATCCGTTCGTGACACATGGCGAGGTAAACCAGCAGAAGCACCGCAGGCGGTCGTCTACGGTCGTCGACGGTCGTCCACGGTCCGTCGAGAACCGGTATGCAGTCGCGTAAGCCCGTGAGCTCTTCAGCTTCCTACGGCATGCGGGTAAATGGACGGACACGTGGTGGACTCGCTTTCTGTCGAGATACTTCTTTGAGTCTGTCGCTCCACGTTTTCTCCGTAATTCTCCTGTTATTGTGCTTGAAATTCGTCGAATTCGCTCCCCTGTTCTCTGCTTCGAGGAAACACGAAGGATTTTCATTGAACGTCACTCCCCTCCGTACGTCATCAAAGCCAAAGCAGCATTCACGGACACGGTAGCATTCGTGAACACCCTCCCACACCAGCCCGTTAATCAACAACTGCTGTGCGCGCACCAACCACACCACATGCCCGTTTTTTTCACCCCACCCCTTCTCAAACCTCCCCTTCCTGAAACAATTGCAACACCCCTCGTGTCCCTCGCACTCCCTCCCCCAGTGAAACGGTCTCCTGCTGACATGATGGGACTCGCCAACACCACGCTCCTGGTGCCCACGAACAAGGGCCTCTACTCTCTTGGAATCAGGACCCTCACCAACATGACTGCGATGGAAGTGATTGGCCAGTACAACGTGCTGACTAAGCGCTTCACTGGCGCACAACTGGCTAAGCTGGCTGCAGGGGCGAAGATTAAGACTGTGCTGACAAAGGTCATTCAGGTGTATGCGCAGATCCAAGGGAAGGTTGTGTTGGGGAAAGTAGGGGCAGCAGCAAAAGACCGGGGAGTGGTGGTTACACCGGACCTGTGCAAGGGAGTGTTTGTGAAGGCTCATGGCATGTCTTTGTACCTCAAGCCCCCTGGATATTGACATGGGGGACCATGATGCATGGGGGGATTATCAGCTACTGTTTGACGTACTGTAGTGGGATGGAGATTACGAACAACCCCCTAGACATGATAATCTCTGGATAGGAGTCCAGTAATGCAATAGTGAGGTCGTGATTAAAGTGTGTCGAGTACAAATGAAGCACAGGGTTAAGAGCGTGTTCCTACTAGCCTCTTCCCAGGCATCCATTTCCCAGACTCAAGCGCGACCTTGAGACCGTGTTCCCAGGACCACTTTTCGGAATACTCCCGTTTCATATTTGCGTTCCACCGCTCTCAACCACATGAAACCAGCTGGCGTCTAAAATTTTCTGTGCAGATTCGAGCTTGTCTGAAAATCTGCTCGTCTGAAAAGAGGTTTCAAAACACGCCCCAGAATCTCGGGAGGGCGAATCTCACTTGTCAAACATATATTGATATGTTTGTATAGACTGTGTGTCGAGAAGAAAACTGAACAAGTGTTGAATAGAGAGAGAGAACAAGGGTAGGTATATACCTAGGAGTGTTGTACCCTCTAAGAGGTGACCCTATACAGTCTTTACAAAAATGAATTATACATATATTTGTCAACTTATACATATTATCTATGTAGAAGTTATAGGCTAGACTGAGGTATGCTTCTAGTGAGTACAACCAACTAGTATTTGTTCTAGGTTTCCACCTCTAGTAATCATTCGTTTCTACGTTAACATGGTATCACGCTTAGGTTAGGATCCCCCCGCCTACCGCTTCCGCCCGTCGCGCCTCCTAGGCCCCGTCGCGCCCCCTAGGCCCCGTCGCGCCCCCTGGGCCCCGTCGCGCCTCTAGGCCCCGTCGCGCCCCCCTGGGCCCCGTCGGCCCACTGGGTCCCGTCGCGACCCCTAGGCCCTAACGCGCCCCCGCTGGGCCCCGTTGCGCCTCCTAGGCCCCGTCGCGCCCCCCATGGGCCCCGTCGAGCCCGCTGAGCCCCGTCGTGCCTCCTAGGCATCGTCGCGCCTCCTAAGCCCCGTCGCGTCCCCCCCTCTGGGCCCCGTCGCGCCCGTTCGGCCCCGTCGCGCCCCTCCTAGGCCCCGTCGCGCCCGCTGGGCCCCTTCGCGCTTCCTAGGCCCCGTCGCGCCTGCTAGGCCCCGTCGCGCCCCCCTGGGCCCCGTCGCGCCCGTTAGGCCCCGTCGCGGCCCCCCTGGGCCCCGTCGTGCCCGCTGGTCCCCGTCGCGCCTCCTCGGCCCCGTCGCGCCCCCCCTGGGCCCCGTCGTGCCCGCTGGGCCCCGTCGCGCCCCTTAGGCCCCGTCGCGCCCGCTGGCCCCTGTCGCGCCTGCTGTTAGCGCTCGCCCGCCTGGCCTCCTCCTAGTGCCGCTCGGCCTCCTCCTAGTGCCGCCCGGCCTCCTCCTAGTGCCGCCCGGCCTCCTCCTAGTGCCGCCCGGCCCTTCCTAGCGCCGCCCGGCCTCTCCTCAGCGCTGCCCGGCCCTCCTCCTCGACCGACCGGCCCAGCAGCACCAGCCTGGCCCCTCCCAGCACCAGCCCGGCCCTAGAGCACCTGCCCGCCTCCCCTGCTCGGCCTGCCGTGTCCTCTCGGGCCCTGTGTCTTCTGCTTGCCTGCGCTGGGACGCCTAGCTGCTGCCCTACTGGAGAGTGCTGCCGCCGTGTCCCCGCGCCGCTGTGCTCCTGTGCCGCTGAGGAGCTGTGCTGCTGTGCCGCTGTGTCGCTGAGGAGCTGTGCCGCTGACCCTGCACGATGGCTGACTTTGTGCTCCGCCTGGACGCTGAGGGCCACGCGGTTGACTTCGCCGCCTGGCTCTCCGATCTTCGCCGCCAGCTTACAGGTCAGCGCCAGGATGGCCACTCTCTGGTTGTCCATGCTGATGGCTTGCTCCCCCGTCCCCCTGCACCTACTCCCCTCCCTGCTGACCCCTCCTCTGATGACCGTGAGGCTTTCTCTACTGCTGCGCTAGCCTGTGCGGTCTGGGACTCACGCGATGCAGTAGCTCAGGTTGCTATTAGTCACGCCCTCCCTGTGTCTGAGCGCTCGCGTTTTGCTACTGTTGAAACGGCCAAAGCTTATTTAGAGCCGTTATTGCTCGCTATTCCACCCCTGCCTCCGCTTCTGCTGGCCGCTTGCTCTTTCCGATGCTGTTCCCAGACCTGGCTGCCTTCCCTACTGTCGCAGATTTTGCCACTCATTTGCGTGCCCTAGAGACTCGCTATCGCACTGCCAGCACTGCTGCCCAGCTCACTGCGCTCCCCCCTCCTTTCTGCATGACGCTCTATTTTATCGCTATGCGCCTGCCAGACCGCCTCGCTAGTGCTCGCGACCACTTTCTTAGCCAGCACCCGGGTGACCTCACCCTGACCGCCTTTGTCGACACCCTCACTGAGATCGAGACTCGCCAGCGCACTATCGCTCAGTCGAGCGGTGCGCCGGCAGTCTCTATCTTTCACGGTTGTGCCCCATCCCCGTGCACGTTCACTGACGTTTCGGCTGCGGTCGCCACGGCGACCCCTCTTACCGAGACGGCTGCTGCTGTCCACCCGCAGCAGCGCTCGCGTCGCGGTGGCCGTGGCCGCCAGGGAGGTAGGGGTGGTGACGCAGGTGGTAGTGGTCGTGGTGGTGGTGACGGTAGTCCGCCTGAGGGGACTACCACCGGTGGGCAGGAGCAGCAGTCCCAGCAGCAGCAGGACCAGCCCCAGCCGCAGCCGCCGTCCCAGCAGCACCCGCCGCAGCCGTGGGCTCGTCTCCCGCCTGGTTGGCCCGGCACCTCCGGAGGCGGTGGCCGTGGTGGCGGCCCGCGCAGCTTGGCGTCTACCAGCGGCTCCAGTGCTGTGACCTGCCAGTACCAGCTTCAGACCGGGCCTCTCCGCGGCACTCTGTGCCGCCGCCCGCACCCGACCGCCCACTGTTTCCGCCGCCTCGACGATCTTTTTCGTCGTCGCTTTGGCCCGGCCCCGGACCTCCCTGACTGGCACAGCCTGCTCCGCCAGGGCGTGCCGATCTTTGAGTTAGACATGGATCAGATAGGTGCTGCTTTGCATGCTTTGTATGCTGACGCTTCTAGTGTTGATGGATCTTACTACCATGTGTACTCTAGTTTAGGTGTTTCACCCTTGTGTAGCTTAGCTTCCCCTGCTGCGACAGGCGTAGGACTGCCTAGGTTGCCTAGTCTAGTCGCTGCACCGGCTCCGTCCGCGGCCTCCGCCACTGCGTCGCTGTCCTTCACTCTCGACTCTGGTGCTTCTGCCTGCTTCTTCCGCGACCGTTCCACGCTCACGCCGCTTGCTGCACCTGCTGTTGTCTCTCTCGCTGACCCCTCTGCGGGTCCGGTCGTCGCGCGCAGTTCTACGTCCCTTCCCTGTCCGGCAGTTCCCTCGGGCTCCCTTACTGGCCTCCACGTTCCCTCGTTCTCCAGGAACCTGGTTGGTGTCGGCTGTCTCCAGGACCTCGGCGTCACCACCACGTTCCCCGGGCACGAGCGGTTCGCTGTCTGTTCTGAGGCTGTCTCAGGTTCCCCCCTTGCGACGTTCCCCCGGGACCCGGTGTCCGGTCTGTTTACCCTACACACCGCTTCCCCCCCGGTTGGTGCGTCCTCCCAGGTCGCTGCAGCTTGCTCGTGTCGGTCCCTCACTCACCCCTCCCTTCTCTGGCACCACCGCTTAGGTCACCCTGCTCTCCCGCGTCTGCGTCACATGTCCCAGCACGGTCTTGTCTTAGGTCTCCCCGCGTCGCTCCCTGCCCTTCCTCCCTCGACTGCGCCACCGTGCACGCCTTGCGTCGAGGGTCGGCTCCGCCGTGCTCCTCACTCCTCCTCGCTGCGTCCTGCTACTGCCCCCCTTCAGACCCTGCACTTGGACGTTTGGGGCCCTGCCCCCGTCCCCGGACCGCGCGGTGAGCGCTACTTCCTTGTGCTCGTTGACGACTACACGCGCTACACCACGGTGTTTCCCCTGGAGCGGAAGGCCGACGTGCCCGACGTTCTTCTCCCGTGGGTTGTAGCTGCGCGTCTCCACCGCGGTCTCCCCGTGTTGTGTCTCCACTCCGACCGTGGCGGCGAGTTCGCCTCTGGTCGGCTTGGACAGTTCTGTCGTGCGGAGGGCATCACCCAGTCGTACACGTTGCCGGACTCGCCACAGCAGAATGGGGTTGCTGAGCGCCGCATCGGCTTGGTCATGGAGGTCGCCCGTACCTCCATGATCCATGCCGATGCCCCCCATTTTCTGTGGCCGTTCGCTGTTCGCTACGCGGCTCACCAGCTTAACCTGTGGCCACGCTCCCAGCGGCCGCAGGTTTCGCCGACCCTCCTTTGGACCGGGTCCCCCGGTGACGCGTCTGCGTTCCACGTCTGGGGCTGCCTTGCTCACGTTCGTGCCTCTGGCACGGACAAGCTCACTGCCCGCACTGTCCCCTGTGTCTTCCTCGGTTTCCCCCTGGACTCGTCTGACTGGCTTTTCTACCACCCGCCGTCTCACCGCTTCCTCCACTCTCGTGACGTCACCTTTGACGAGTCCGTCTCCTTCTACCGCCGCTTCCCTCACCGAGGTCTCCCAGTTGCCCCCCCCTTTTCCTTGCTCCCTCTCCCCCGGTAGCCCCTGCCCCTCTCCCGCCTCGTCCTGCCCCGTCTGGTGTCTCCCACGTCACTCCCCTCCCGTCGGTTGTCCCCGTTGAGGAGTCTGCTGACTCTGGTGGTACCCCCGGTCCGTCCTTGCCGCGTCCCCCTTCCCCAGTGCCTCCGCCCCCACTGTCGCAGTCGCCGACCCCGCTGCCGCCGCCGTCGCCGTCGCCGCCAGCCGTCGCCGCTGTCGCCGCCACTGCCGCCGCTGCTCTCGGCCCCTGGGGGTGCTGGTGTGGAGGAGGGTGTTCGTCCTGCGGCTTCTGGGGGTGCCGCTGGTGTTGGAGGGGGTTCTCGCTCTTGGGGTGTTGGTTCTGGGGGTGCTGCTGTTGAGTGTTCTGCCGACGGTCGTTCTGCCTCTGCTGGTCCGAGAGTTCCGGCCCAGCCACGTCGCCGGCCGGTTTCCGCTCTCCGCCTGCTCGGCCTTCCCTCCCCGGACCGCGCGCCGGTGTCTCCCCCACCGCCTCCTGACCTCCCTGTCTACGGTCCTGTGTTCCCGCCGCCAGACTCGTCTCCGGCCCGTCTTCCTCCTCGTTCCCCTCCTGTGTCTCCTCCGCTGTCCCCTGACCCTA